AGAGTGTAGGTATATGCTTGCATGTGGTTGCATGTGTATGTGTGTAAGTATATGTTGGAGGAAAGTGTGTGTATAATAAGGTAAAGGCAAACAGGGATTTGACCCAGGGATAGAGGCAGTGTGGTACATGGTACATAGTGCGTGGTACAGCATTTAGAGTTAGAGGACCTGAAGTCAAATTCCAGTTCTGCTCTTTACTACCTGGATGACTTTGAGTACATTACCTCTGTGTGGGCCTCAGTTTCCTCATCTGTAAAATGAGGAGGATTGGACCAAATGATTTCTACATTCCCTTGGGTAACTCTTCCTGACCCCAGTTTTGGGAGTTTTCTCCAAGAAGATACTGGAGTGGTTTGCTGTTTTCTTCTCCAGTTCATTTTTACAAATGAGGAACTGAGGCCAACAGGGTCAAGTGACTCGCCCAGGGCCACACAACTAGTAAGTGTCTGAGGTCACATTTGAACTTGGGAAGATGAGTTTTCCTGATTCCAAGTCCAGTGCTCTATGCAATACACCACCTCACTGCCTGGGTAGGGGGTGAGGAATGCTGAATTTGGAGGGTTGGAGAGGCTTTTGGAATGCTTTAGGGACAGAAACAATAGAGATGAGCACTTAGCAAGAATACTTAGTGAAAGTGGAAGTTACCATCTCCCAGCTGGAGCGACTTCCTCCTCTGCCTGTGCCTCACACTATTGTCTCAGGCTCTATCTGCCCCCTCGTGGGTGGGGTCCCTTTTCCACCTCAACTGAGGGCATGCTTCTTGCTTCATTAGAATAGAAGCGCTTTCTCTCTCTCTCTCTCTCTGTCTCTCTGTCTGTCTCTCCCTCCTTCTCTCCCCTTTTCCTTCCTTCCTTCCTTCCTTCCTTCCTTCCTTCCTTCCTTCCTGTTCGAATTTTCTTGTACAAAATGAAATGTTTTACATGATTGCACATATATAATCTATATTGGATTGCTCAGGGAGGGGACAGAGGAGGTAAGGAGGGAGGGATAGAATTTGGAACTCAAAACTTTAAAAAAAACCCCAAATGTTAAAAACTATTTTAATATGTAATGGGGGGTGGGGTGGGGAATAAAATATCATTAAACACACACACACACACACACACACACACACACATACACACAAGAAGAATAGAAGCTCCTTGAGAACAGGGCTGGTTCTGCTTTTGTTTTGGCACGTTCAGTACCTAGCCCAATCACTGGTGCAAAGTAGATCCTATATATATATATATATACACACACACATATACACATACACACACATATACACATACACACATATATATACACATATACACGTACATATATATATATATATATATATACACACATACACACACAGCAACAGGTGCTAATGACACCACATTTAGGAGGTCTGGTCACAATGTGGCTTAGGTAGCTTTTCTCTACTGCATAGCAATGTATATGTATATGTATGTGTGTTGAGTATCTGATTGATTAGTTTGTTGTACCTGCCTCAGACATTACAGTCCCTAATCCCAGCTCTGGTGCTTTATTTTTCCAAGGTTAGGGTAAGGAGGATGTAGGACCCAGGGCATATTTGCTGGAAGCAGATACTTTTTGTCTTTTTCGTCTGGTCTCATAGGCATTAGGTTCTTTTGTGTGATTTTGGGATTTGGGGGGGGCATGAGAAAACCCTGAGCCATGCCCCCCCTCCACTTGCTTGTGGAAAATTCCATTGCCAGGGGATGTTGCTTTTCATACCAATTAGAGATTAGATTAAAAAAGTAAACCTGCTTTGTTCCTTAAGGAGCTGAGGGTGTTACCTGTGCCTGCCAGTGTAGGGGTAGGGTATGCATAGTATTGGGGCTAGAGCTGGAAGGAGAAGAGGAGACTACAATTTTCATTCACTCTAAGGGGGAAAGCACAGTGGTATATACTAGAAAGAACAATGGATTTAGAGTCAGAAGATCAGATGGGCAAGTCGTTTTCCCTGTCTAGGTCTCAAGTTTCCTCATCTGACATATGATATTGGACTAGATTATTTCTAAGGTTCCTCCCATCCTTATATTCTATAATATCAATGAAATGATACCAGAACTTCTGAGAGTAGTATTTGAAAGGACAGAGGAGTATGTTCAAGATATTGTAAACTTACAGTGTGTGGTACAGGGGGAGGTGCAAAGGACCTAGGTTCAAATTCTGCATCAGATATTTAGTAGCTATGTGTACTCCAAGTCAGCTTAGCTTTCTGGGCCTCGTTCTGTGGTGACATTACTGTGCCAGACAGGAAGAGGAGATTTTCTTATAAACCCACTGATATGGGGTAATAGAACCATTAGGTTCTGTGTCTTCATTTTACCAATGAGGAAACTGAGATCCAGAGAGGTTAAGTGAGTTGTCTGAAATCATATAGGTAGCAAAACTGGGATTTGATCCCAGGTTTCTCAACTTCAAATCCGGTGTGCTTTCCACTCTACTGTGCTGGATAAATGTCCCTGAACCTTGGGCAGGCACATCTTCCAGGACTGGGGTCTGGGAAGGGGCCAAGGAAGGCATGAGAATGGAAGGTGAGGCTTACCTCAGTGTCTTTATATGAGACCATCCCTTTATTTCTTTCCAAAATTAGCCTTGGTGGTAGATGTAGGATTGGGAGAATGCTTCAATCATTGATTGACATGATGATACCATGACTGATGAGATCATCAAGCCTGAAATGTGACTGACTAGAAATCAATGGAGAGAAGAGTGACTATGGAGACTGAATGCCAGCCTGGATGCTGAGCCAACCACTGGACTTCCATCTCCTTCTCTATCATCCAGTCAGCTTTGTGACTTCCATAGCAACAGGTGCTAATGACACCACATTTAGGAGGTCTGGTCACAGTGTGGCTTAGGTAGCTTTTCTCTACATAGCAACAGATGTACCTTGAGCCCCAGCTGACCATGTCTAGCAGGAGTAACTTTGCTTAACGAAGGTGGCCAAGCAGGAGGAGGCTGTAGGTATCTCCGTGCAAACGCACCACTCCACTGCAGACATAGCTCATTCTTCATCATTGCTTACAAGCGTCACTGTTGGAGGGGCAGCTTGGTGCAGTGGATCGAAGACTATAATTGTGAACCAGGAAACCTGGCTATATCACTCATGAGATGTAGGACCTTGAGCTAGTCACTTCCCAGACCTGAAATTCTGTTTTTGCCTCTGCAGAATGAAGACATTGGACTAGATGACCTCTAAGGCTGCTTCTATGATTAAGTCAAATCAATATGAATTACAAAGGTGGAAGTAAAGGTGAAAGAGGGGGCCAGGCACTTACATATGCAGCATGGGGAATCAGGAGACCCCCTGATTTGCTGGATTAGGGTATCTCCAATGGAGCTGGGCACGTGCACTGGCCCATTCTTGACACTGAGTGACATGGGGAGCCCATCTGACTGGCTCCCAGGAACTGGCATTGTCTTCCAATGATTGGTTGACTGAGGCCCAGGGGGATGAACTCTGACTGCAAGAGCCTTCCTCCTCTAAAACCTATAAGAGCAATGCTCTTTGATCAGCTTTAGAAACTTTTTCTAGCGTTCCCTCTCCTTTGGACACCCAGAAAGGCATATATATAACCATCAGTAAAAGACTAGAGCATGTGTATAGCTGCAAGAGAGGTGTCCCAGTCCAACACATAAAGGAGAGCAGATGACAGGCTATGGTCTTTTGGAAAGGGCTCTAGTTTGAGACAAAAGCAAGTTGAGTTCCAGTCCTCATTTTCTAGGCTCACTCACAGTATGATTTTTCAAGAAGGTCACAACCTCTCTAGGTCTTAGTTTTTTCCCTCTTTAAAATGGGAATAATGGTAACCACCCTCTTACCCAGGGAAGATAGGGTAAAGATGTAAGTGCTTGAAAGTATTTGAAAGTACTCTTTAAGAATGAAAGAAATTAATTTGTTCATGTCTATGGGGTTGGGCTGGAAACTAGACTGGTCCTTGGTGAGTGGGAAAGGGGAGTGTAGTGTAGTGGAAAGAGCATTGATCTTAGTGTCTGAAAACCTGAATTCAAGGTCTGGCTCTGATATTATCTGTATGAACTCAAGCAGGAGACTGCATCTTTCTTTGACTCTGTTCCCTCATCTTTAAAATGAGGGTAATAATATTTGATTTGTAAGTCTTAAGGAGCTATAAAAAATGTGAATTATTATTATATTATGATTAGGACAGGAAAAAGAGATGAGAGGTCCCAGATCTCCCCTAATACCCATAGAAGACAGTTTTATCCTTCTCTTTGTTCCTTCCCCATTTAACCCTCTGCCCCCTAACCAAAAAAAAAAAAATAGACCAACCCTTGGTGGAAGAATGTTCTTTATCTCCATTTAGCTTTTAAAGCCCTGCACCACCTTGCCCCAACCTATCTTTCAAGCCTTATTGGATATTATGACCCCTTCTACGCCCTGTGATCTAATCTTACTGACTTTCTCTCTGCTCCTCACACACAACAATCCATCTCTGGACCTTTGTATTGGTCCCCATGCCTAGAATGCCCTCCCTTCTTATGTCTACCTCGCAGTGTCCCTTTCTTCCTATGATACAACCCAAGCACCATCTTCTTGAAACCTTTCCTGATTCCCGCCTATTACAAGCCCCTCCTCTCTCAAACTACTTTGTGTTTAATTACTTGTATATATTTGTATTTATTAATTTTCTATTTATACTGTATATATGTATACATGTGTGTGTACTTGTTGCCGCCTCCATTAGAATGTCAACTCATTGCAGGTAGATATCGTTTCATTCTTTGTACTTGTATCTCCAGCACCTAGCACAGTACCTGACATACAGTAGGTGCTTAATAAATGCTTGTTGATTGATTGTCCCCTTTTGGGCATCAAGAGTTAGAGTGTAACTCAGTAGATAGAGTGAACCAACCTGTGGGTTTGCAGGGAATGTGGGAATTGAGTGTGTGTTTGCTTCTGTAGGGTTGTGTCTCTGAGTTCCACAAAGTGAAGTTGCTCATTTTGGATGGATCACCATTCCCCATTGCTACCCTTACAGGGATCTCAGTGTGGATGCTGGTTTGAGCCACGCTCAGTTCCAGGTTCGGCCCATCCCTCAGCACTATCAGCATTACCTAGCGACGCCTCGAATGCACCACTTTCCCAGAAACTCTTCCTCCACGCAGATGGTAAGTGAAAGGGTTCTGCTGGGAAAATGCTTTCCTGTGGTGCCTGCCAGAAGCTCATCAAAATCACAAGTCAACTACTTGTCCCTCTAGGAGCACCTCCCTCCTTTTTTCCCCCTCCCTAACTCCTACCAAGGAGAAGACACCACCCCAACAGTGAGGCCACATTGGGCAAAACAAGACAGTTTGGAAGGGAAAGCAGCGGGTGGGGGAGCAGATGTTGTAATATGGTCTGTTGGAAAAGCCTCTAGTTAGAGAGACAGAGTTGAGTTCTAGTCCTGATTCCTGAGGCTAATTCACTATATGATTTTCACAAGACCTCTGTTGGTCTCAGTTTTCTCCATCTCTAAAATGGGAATAATGGTAACTGCCCTGTTTACCCAGAGAAGAAAGAGTGGAGATGTGAGTCCTTTGCAAGTATTTGAAAGCACTCTTTAAGACTGAAAGGAATTCATTTATTCATGTCTCTGGGACTGGCCCTTGTTGAGTGAGGAAAAGGGAGTGTGATGTCATGGAAGGAGCACTGGTTTTAGAGTCTGATGACCTGAATTCAGGGTCTGGCTCTGGGACTATATGAACCTGAGTAGGTGATTGTGTCTCTCTGAGATTCTAGAATAGGCATAACAATATTGGCTTTGTAAGCCTTAAAAAAGGCATAGGTAAATGTGAGTTATTATTGCTACTGCATAGGAAAGAGAGATGTCTCTAGCAATTCCAAGAAGGGACAATATATGCACACATAAAACATCTGGAGCACTAAATAAGATAGTATAGAGTCAAAAGCTGGATTGTATGGTATAGATGGTAGGGGTCCTTGTAGTTTAGAGGAAGGGAGCAGTGTGTGCTGGGGTATTCAGGGAAGGGATCATGGACCGGGTGAGGCTTAAGTTGGCCCTTGATGGGGAAAGGAGTAGTATTTGAACACACCAGAGGGAGAGAGGAAGGCCCTCCTTGCTGGTTGCGGAGCAGTATGATCTTAGTAGGGACAGTGAGAGGATCCAACTGGATTAGGTGTGTTATGAGGGGAAAATAAGACTGAATAAGTAGATTGAAGCCAGGTTTCAGAGGGCTTTGGAGGCCTGGCAGAGGAGTTTGGGTTTGACCTGATAGGAAGTAAGTACTATACATTCTTGAAAGGGGAGTGACATCATGCTAGTAATGGATGGGAGTGATGAGCCAGGGGCTGTAGGGAGGGGGAAGCTACAGAAATTAGGTCCATTGTAGAGACCCGAGTCTCTTTTTTATATTCATGGCATTTTCTCTGGCACAGGTCGTCCATGAAATCAGAAATTACCCTTATCCCCAGCTTCACTTCCTTGCTCTTCAGGGACTGAATCCAAACAGACATACATCGGCCGTGAGGGAAAGCTACGAGGTATGTTCTCTCCAGCTCAGTGACCCACCAAGGAACTCTGAGAGTAGGCTAGATCCTGGCAGGTCACCCGGTCTAAACGTTGAGATCAGATTGTAATGAAACCTATGGCGGCTTCCTATGTCCTCAAGAATAAAATTCTTATTCTTTATTTTGCCTTTAAATATATATTTTATCATAACATATGATATAGACTCCATAGTATATTATATAGAATTCTCTATTTTGCCTTTAAATATATCTTATTATAATTTATTATATATTTCACGATATATAATCTATGTATTTTGTAAGAATGTATAAAATCTATATATTTTATCACAAAATATATAAGATCTATATATTTTATGATAAATATATTACATTTATAAAATCTATAGATTATATGTACAATCTATACATTATATGTACTCTATAAATCATGTATCTTTACCTTTTATATATAAAATATGTTTCATAAAATCTATAGATTTTATAATAAAATATATTTACAATTAAATATTAAATATATGGATTTTATAATATATAAACTGTAGGCTTTTATAATAAATTATATATAATATTTTATAATAAAACATATAAATCTTTATATGTATATTTTATAATAAACACATATATTTTAAATATATTACTCTATTTTGCTTTTTAAAAATATACATACCCAACATGGCCCTAATCTTTCTTTCCAATCTAATTGGACACTATTCCCCATCTTGTACTTAGAATGCAACCTGGCCAAACTGACCTTTTCTCTTTCTGTCACACATGACACTCCATCCCTTGTCTCCCTGCCTTGTGTATTGGCTATCCTCCATGGCTGGAATCCACTCCCTCTTTACTTCTGCCTCACAGAGTCTCTCTCTTCCCTTAAGATGCAGCTGAGGCATCAGCTGTCACCTTTTCCAACAAATCTTTCTGGATCCTTCCAGCTAGGAGTAACTCTTTTCCCTAAACTGCCTTGTGTTTATTCTGTTTATATTGATGCTGTGTATATGTATATATGTATATATGTAATATATGTATGTGTATATATTTAATATATATGTGACTTATATATGTACTCATTGCCTCTTCTTTTAGAATGTTTCTTCTGAGCAGGGCTTGTTTTCTTTCTTTCTTTCTTTCTCTCTTTCTTTCTTTCTTTCTCTCTTTCTCTCTTTCTTTCTCTTTCTTTCTCTTTCTCTTTCTCTCTTTCTCTCTTTCTCTCTTTCTCTCTCTCTCTTTCTCTCTCTCTCTTTCTCTCTCTCTCTTTCTTTCTTTCTTTCTTTCTTTCTTTCTTTCTTTCTTTCTTTCTCTTCCTTCCTTCCTTCTTCTTTCCTTCCTTCCTTCCTTTTCCTTCCTTCCTTCCTTCCTTCTTCCTTCTCTTTCTTTCTTTCTTTCTTTCTTTCTTCTTTCTTTCTTCTTCTTCTTTCTTTCTTTCTTTCTTTCCTTCTTTCTTTCTTTCCTTCTTTCCTTCTTTCCTTCTTTCCTTCTTTCCTTCTTTCTTTCTTTTTCTCTTTCTTCTTTCTTTCTTTCTTTCTTTTCTTTCTTTCTTTCTTTTTCTTTCTTTCTTTTTTCTTTCTTTCTTTTTTCTTCTTTCTTTCTTTCTTTCTTTCTTTTTTCTTTCTTCTTCTTTTCTCTGTATCCCCAGCACCTAGCATAGAACCTGGTACCTAGAAGGCTTTCAATAAATTTTTGTTGATTAACTGATACAGAGGGAAAAAAAGGGGGAGGGGGAGAATTACATAGAAAAGAGACTCTCTTTTATGGCATTTTATCCAAATCAGAAAAGTTCTTCTTTTGTCTCTTCCGCATGTTTATTATAGTCCCACCAAGCAGCTCACTCTGTGTGTGTGTGTGTGTGTATGTGTGTGTATGTAAGCATGTGTGTGTGTTTCTGTTGCAGGAGCTACTTCAGCTGGAGGACAGACTGGGCAGTGTGAGCCGAGGAGCTGTACAGAACACCATTGAGAGGTTCACCTTCCCCCACAAGTACAAGAAGGTGAGTGACTTCTCCCATACATCAACTGGGCCTGGTAGTTCTTAAAGCTTTACTATGGCAGTGGCTGTGGGGTTGGATCCAGCTCATGCTTAGTGAGACATAACAGAAGCAACCAAGTCTGGGACCCCACTCACCAGCTGGGAAGACCAGGGTACCTTTATTGCCCTTATTCAGTGTCCGATGGAGATGACAGACAGGGTGGTGACCCTTGTAGAAACATGAGGCTACAGGTGTGTTTGCCTGAATATTTCTGGGTTCTTGATGGCTACGACAGGAAAGCTTAAGCATGCAGATTCACTAAGCTGGAAAGGCTTTGGGTAGGGGCTTGGTGACAGACCGTGAATAATGTCCAAGGATCCGGAGCAGAGAAGCTCATTACCAGCAAGTCGGCTGCTTGGTGGGCAAATATTTTGGCCTCAGGACTACATCAAATAGGGACCATAATAAGCAATAAACCAATCAACAAGTATTTATTAAGTGCTTACTTAATGCTGGGGAAACAAAGGAAAAGCAAACACAGTTCCTGCTGTCAAGGAGCCTACATTCTACTTCCAACATGAAAATAAATATGTTTATACAAGACACATTCAGAGTCTATTGATGATAACCTTCCAGAGGAAAGCACAAACAGCTAAGGGGATCAGGAAAGCCCTCCTGGCAGAAGGTGGAGTTATGTCCTTTTGTGATGGGCATGTGTAAATGTACAAATGTGTAAAACGATACTTCACACTTATCCTTGGTTAAAGTTGGAGAGATTGAAGTTAAACAACCCACTCACAGAGCTGTGGGGTTGTTTGAATTGTGGATGAGCAGGTATTTGTTGTCTACGGGAGCACACGTGGTGGGCCCGGAGAAGGGAAGGCTAGGCAGTTCCCTGTAAGATGACTGCTGTGTCCTAGACGGAATGAAGTTAGACTAGCTAAGCTTGAGTTGGGAGAGCTAGCATCTGATCCTGGCTCCAAGGCTTATTCTTGGGGTGACCTTCAATCTCCACCTTTTTAGGTTTATTTTAGAGCACTGGGCTTGGAATCAGGAAGACTCAGACACTTACTAGTTGTGTATCCCTGGGAAAGTGACTTAACCCTGCTGGCCTCTGTTTTTTCACCTGTAAAATGAGCTGGAGAAGGAAATGGGAAATCACTCCAGCATCTTTGCCAAGAAAACCCCAAATGGGGTCATGAGTCAGACGCAACTGAAACTTCAAGACAACGACGACAACAACAACAAAATTATGCCTCTAATTTCTTCAACTAATTCCTTTATGGGATGGTCTCTAATTATTAATATCCTCCCCAAAATGTGGTACCAGTAACTGAGTCCTCTAGATGACTGGGGCAGACAGAGCATGGGAGAGCTATCACATCCCATGCTTTGGATGCTATGCCTCTGTACATTAGGAAGTCTAGTTCTCCTTGCCTAATGCCCATGCTTTGTGCATTTGTGTGTAGACATCTGAGAACATGAGTTTTTATCTCTGGATCCCTTAACATATTTTGGCCCTTCTGAATTATTTAGCATCTCTGTGACTATTTTCTTCTTACATCGTGACTGCTACACTCTTCAACTACTCTCTGAACCTTTTTTGGTGCCCTGGACCCCCTTGGCAGTCTGGTGAAGCCAAAGGACCCCTTCTCAGAACAGGGTTTTTAACTGCATAAAATAAAAACCCCAAGATTATAAAGGAAACCACTTACATAGAAATAAAGTGCATTTTCCTCATCCAAGTTCATGGAGCTCCCCAGAATCTATTCTTTACAGGCCCTTAGGTGTCTGTAGACCCTAAGTTAAGATGCCCTGCTTAAGGTATCTAACTTTGCTGAGCTACATAGGCAGTTTTCTTACTCCTTTCTTTTTAGTTTAAAGCTTTCTTGGTTGATGTTTAAGACTACAGGAAAATATATTCTTACAAGCCCTTGTTAGGTGTACTCCATCCCTGGCCAGCATCCTCACCTGCCTGTATTTTTTACCATGGTTTGGAAACCAAATCTTGTTCTCAGACATCATCTTAACCAGAAATTGTTACTTCCTACACCCATCTTTCTTTCCTGAAACTCCTTCTTACAACTAGAAGCAGTGATAAAAACAATACTAGCATTTCTAAGCTCTTCAGTTTCTGGCCCGAACTTCATAATCTGTAGCTTCCTTCTGGAAATATCATTTGTTCCCACACGAATCATCAGAAGTGCGGTGGTGGTCACCAGGTTTTAAGAGGCTCCCCTTCACGTCCTACATCCACGCTCTAGGAAGTCAATAAATGCTCTTTCACAGGGAGTCACCAACTATCATTACCGGTCCTTACTGTGAATTCTCTCCCTCCTTCTCTCTCTCTCTCTCTCTCTCTCTCTCTCTCTCTCTCTCTCTCTCTCTCTCTCTCTCTCTCTCTCTCTCTCTCTCTCTGTTTCTGTCTCTGTCTCTCTGTCTCTCTCTCCCCTTCCCTCCCTCACTGTGTCCCTCCCTCTCCTTTCTCTTTCTTCTCTCTTCTTTCTCTCTCTTACACATACACTCTTCTTTGTCTTCTCTGTCACACATTCACTCTTCTTTCTCTCTCTCGGTCTCTGTCTCTCTCTCTCTGTCTCTCTGTCTCTGTCTCTCTCTGTCTCTCTCTCTGTCTCTCTCTCTCTCTCTCTCTCTCTCTCTCTCTCTCTCTCTCACACACACACACACACACACACACACACACACACACACACCCCATACCTGTATCTGCTTTACATGATGCAACTTCTTCTGTTCCCCATTTTCAGTAAGCATTTATTATTTGGGTGCAGGGATCCTTTTCCCCTTCTTTTATGTCATACTCTTCTGCCCTCCAGTCTCCTGACACAGGTGAGCATTTCCTCCTGCCTCCAAGTTCCCCTTGTTCTCATTGTAGCTCTTCTGGCTACCTCTCCTGAAGAAATGGTGTGTTGAATTGCTTATTGGCCATTCCTATTCACCTTGCTGGGTGTTCAGTTGCAGGGGGCTCCTGAGAGAGACTTTATTTATTATGGAGGTCTTCCCAGAGATGAGTCTAGTTTGCTTAATTGCCCTTGATTAGCAATTAGAAGCTTCCTGTCAAAAGCCTCAGTATCTCTAAATAAGATAGAAAATTGGAATATTTTCTACTCTGAGCAGCATTCATGTGGAGATGGGGAAAGGACAACTGAGTTTATAGAATCTTAGAGTTGGAAGGGGCCTCAGAGGTGATTAAGATAAGCCTGGCTGTGAAGAAAGAATCTTCTCTGCAGCATTCCCAGGGAATAAATAATTGGCCTGCACTTGATGACTTCCAGTAACAGGGAGCTCACCACATTTTGAGGCAACCAATTCTGCTTTTGGAAAGTTTTAGGAAGTTTTTCCTTTTATGGATCTGAAATCTACTTTTCTGAAACTTCCACCCATTATTGTTAGTTCTCCTCTTTAGGGTCAAGTAAAATAAGCCTAATCCCTCTTTTATCCGGTGGTCCTTCATGTACTTGAAGACAACTGTCATACTCCTAATTTTTCTTTTCTCTAGGCTAAATGGTCCCAATTTCTTTAACCAACTTTCATAGGGTATAGTCTCTAGTCACAATTCAAACTGACCTCCTCTGGAAATGTGTCAGTATCTTTCCTAAAATGTGACACCCAGGACAACAAACACAGTCATGGTTTGACCAGTGCCAAGTACAGTGGGAATAGAACCTCCCTTATTTCATATGCTATATTTCTATAGTGAGTGCTTAATTAAGGATCTATCTGTCTACCTAACTATGTATCTATCTATCTATCTGTCATCTCTCAGTCACATATCTCTATCTTCTACCTACCTACCTCTTTGTATTTCTATCTACCTATCACCTATACATCTGTATCAGCTATCTTCATCTCTCTCTCTCTATCTATCTCTCTCTCCCTCACTCCCTCTCCCCCTCTCTCCCCCTCTCTCCTCCTCCTCCTCTCTGTCTCTCATTACAGCCTAATGTCACTTTGGCTTGTTAAATTAACATGTTGCCATGTTGTCCTGTTCATTCCCATTGAACTAAAAGTCCACTAAGATCCCTACATCTTTTTTACATGAACCATTTTAAGCCACATCTCCCCAATGCTGTGTTTGTGTAGATGATTTTTTTTTCAATCCATGAAATTTTCTAAACATCAGATTCTTCATTTCTAAAATAGAAATAATAATACTTGTGCCTATTACATAGAGTAGTTGTAGCAAAAGCACAGGTTGTGAACCTAAAAGTGTTTTATTATTATTTATCCTTGTTAAAACCCATCTTATTAGGTTTGGGACATTGTTCTAGGATGTTGGGACCTTTGTGGATCCGATCATCCTTAGCTATCCTTCTGAGCTTTGTGTCTTCTGCCTATTTACTAAGCAAACCAACTATGCTTTCTTCAAATCACTGAGAACAGTGCTGAACAAAGCAGGATCAAGGATAAATACTGAGCCACTTCATTGGAGACCTTTCTCCAGGCTGATGTTGGCCCATTATTTTGGGATTATTGATTCCTTTTGGGATCTGGTGGTTCAATCAGTATACCTCACTTGACCGTGGGGTTGACCAAATTCAACCACATTGTTCAATTTAACAGCTAAATGTAATAAAAGGAGAACTGAATCTTGAATAAAAAAGTCCTGGGTTCAAGTCTCAGCTCTGCCACCTACTAGCTGAGTCACCTTGGATGGGTCAAACCTTCTGGACCTCCGATAGGACTCCCATTTCAGACATTAGCTCTGTGACCTTGGTCAAGACATTTAACCTCTTAACATTTAACCCTCATCTGACAGATGAGAGGTTTAGACTAGAAAGACTCTAAGGTCCCTTCCTGATCAAAATCTATGATCTTGTGATCCTTGAGCTTACAAGATTGTTTTGGGGAACAACTTTCTAGATCTTAAAGTGTGATAGAAACTATCGTTCATTCAATCATTAAATATTTGTTTAAGATCAATGTTGTGTCTCAAACTCTGTATTAGGCACAATGGGGGGATACTAAGATGAATAAGACAGGGTCCTTGTTCTTTAGGATCTCAGATCCAACCCATTAAGGTGTTGCTAATCTGCAAATAATTAATGTCCAACAAAATATACTGAGTATTCAATTCTGCGGTTAGGGCTGCTGGAGGAAAAGAAATATAATGAGAGATAGTGAAAATGGAATGAAACCATTCATTAAGTCTTTATTACATGCCAAGGACTGTGCTAAGCACTAGGAAGACAAATGGAACAATTAGACAGGCCCTGTTCTCAAAATGCTTACATTCGAAATGGAGAAGATGACCCATAGAAAAAAAAAAACATCTGCTTTGGAGTCAAAGGATCTGGGGACAAATTCTACTCTGCTCCTTACTACCTGTGTGGCCTTGGCCAAGTCACTTAATGTATCTTGGCCTCAGTTTCCTTATCTATGAAACAAAGGATTGGACTAGAAGGTCCCTTCCAGTTCTAGATCCTACGAGCTTATGACAGTCCCTGTCATCAGAGCCCTGATAGCTGGGAAGTAAGACTAATACAAGTGAAAAAATGAGGGAACGCTGTAGATTAACATACAATTAGGTGCCAGACAATGGGCTAAGAACTATATGTGCTCAAGGAATTCAGAGGAGGAACTATCAATCAAGTATGGCGTATTCACAAAAGGCTTCAGGAGCAGGTTGCCTTTAACTGGGCCTCGAAGGATGGACAGAACTTAGAAATCATAGTGAAGTCTGGGACAGGGATAGGGAAAAAGGGTTATTATATAAGTTGGGAGAGCGGCATAAACAAAGGTCAAAAAACAGGAGAGGAGTATGTTTGGGAAATGGTGAAGAGAGCAGCCTTCCTGGAGCAAATGTGTATATACATATGTGTGTGTGTGTGTGTGTGTGTGATGTATATATGTATGTATATGATAGTTGAGAGAAAAGTTCATTTATTCATTCAATAAACATTTATTAAGCACCTACTATGTGTCAGGGACTATGCTAAGTGCAGGGGAAACAAAAAGAAGCAAAAGATAGGCCCTGTCTCTCAAAGAGCTCACAATCTAATGGGGAGAATGGGTTGGTTGAGGCAAATTATTGATGTAAGGGTGCTGAATAAATGAATGAATGATTTCTGAGGTCTTGTGCACATCTGAGGTTCCTATGATTTTATGAGTGAATGAAACATTAGGGAGTCAGAAAATAAGAAAGTTCTTGAGCAGAAGATAAATAGAGTGAAATTTGGGAGGAAGATTATAATGAGGCAGTGATAGAGTGGAGAGAGCCCTGGCTCTACAGTCAGAGGTCCTGGGTTCAAATCCTGATTTTGGTACTTATTATCACCTGTGGAATCTTGGGCAAACTACTCAACCTCTCTGGGCTTTGGTTTCTTCATGGAGTTGGACAAATGACCTCTAAGGTCCTTTCTAGCTCTAGGCCTAGTTTCCTACATTGTTGTTGTTCATCTTTCATTGAGGACCAATGACATCATGGGTAATGGCTTGACTTGCATGAGAATTGGATTTAAGTGAAGCAGAACTACTTGAAGTTATCAGCCTCACTTCTCTCCTCTAGAGTCATCAGAATCCTGAGGCAAGACAAAAGTCAAGATGACTGGTGATGGTCCAGGGTGCAGTGGGGGATCTTGGCCTTTCTAAAGTAAAGTCTTTCCCATGTCCTATGATTGATGAACAAGGATTAATTGATTAACAAGTTTAGAGGCTGTTGCAGTAATTCAGGTGTGAAGTGATGAGGGTGTTGTCAGTGGAAATGAAAAAGAAAGGGTCAGTTTAAGAGAGCTTCATAATAATGTATAAGCCACAACTCCAGAAATGATTCACCAATGCTCCTGATTTCCTAACCTCTCTTACCCCAAAAGCTGCCTTAGCGACCACAATAAATGAAGTTATCCTCTCACTCAGCTGGCCTGAACTATCTACTAAGTCTTCTCTGGGGGTGGGCAGCTAGGTAGTGCAGTGGATAGAGCACTGGCCCTGAAGTCAGGAGGACCTCAGTTCAAATCCAGCCCCAGACCAAACACTTGACACTTACTAGCTGTGTGACCCTGGGCAAGTCACTTAACCCCAGTTGCCTAATAATAATAATAATAATAATAAATAAATAAGTCTTCTCTGGGGAAGCAGTGAAAGCTTCCTGCAAATGACATTCTGCTTACCAATCAATGAAGCACCTACTATGTGCCAGGCACTATCCTAAGCACTGCTAATTTGGGTCAAGCAATTTGGCTGAAATTGAGGAAGGAAAAGGGGGGCTGAGAACAGTATGGGCCACAGAGGGAAGTCATTTGGCTTCAGTTCCTTCCAGGCCAAGTAACAGACCTGGTGAAGACTTTGGGGGAAGGAACTCATTTTGAGGAAGGGCTTAAAAGGGGCTGCAGTCTCACTGGAGGAGACTCTTTGGGCCTTGCCATGTAGCATTCGTGGAGGAAAATAAGAGATGAAACCAGGGGAATAAAGTGGGAAGTTCCTGGGAACACCACACCTGATCTAAGGGAAGGAATGTGGATGGGGAGGGAAGGAATTCACTTAAAAAACACAAGAGCCACTGGGCCTGCTTTTGGGTAATTAATCTTGTCTTTTTCTTGCAGCGAAGACCCCAAGAAGGCAAAGGCAAGAAGGAAGATGGGGAGGAATCAGACACGGATGAAAAATGCACGATTTGTTTGTCTATGCTTGAAGATGGAGAAGATGTGAGGTATGTCGGGAACCACTTTGGTCCCTGTTCTCAACTCTTAGGACATCAAAGTTGGTGCATATCACTAGGAGAAATCTCCTCTTACTCAGCTAGTGCTTGTGTGTGCACACGAGTATGCATTTGTGCACGTGCATATGTACATACATACACACATCTGGGGAGGTATAATGTGGGAGAGCAATCCGATAGCTGGTGAGCTTGGCACAAAGACTTCCCCTCCCATTCAGTCAGTCTGGGGACAACCATCCTGGAGGAGGTGGGTTTCCGGACTCAAGGGTCTTTCTTCTGTTCAATTCAACAACCATTTGTTTAGCAACTACCACGTGCAAGGCACTGTTCTAAGCTCTGGGAAGATGAGGATAAAACCGAAACAGGCTGCCGACCTTGAGCTTCCTTAGCTTCCACGGAGAGTTGCTAAGTGGTTTTTGGTTTTTTGGATGAACTCCATTTGTCCCCCAGGAGGGTCTCCGACTATAGCACATCCCGCCCTTAGCCCAAGGCTAGCCCCATGTGCCCTTTCCTCCGGGCAGTCACAGAGCTAACTCATGCCTGTCTGTTCCAGGCGTTTACCGTGTATGCATCTCTTCCACCAACTGTGCGTCGACCAGTGGCTCGCCATGAGCAAGAAATGCCCAATCTGCCGAGTGGACATTGAAACACAACTGGGTGCCGACAGCTGAGGTGACAGTCCGCCTGGCAGATGCCCCACTTTCCTTCACCAGGTCCCCCGACGGCCATAGCCCTTGCAGCCAAACTTTGCCTTCTGAGCCATTTGATTTAAAGGAAAAGCCTGCAAGCACATTTTGCGGAAAGAGGAATCGGTGTTATCAGCGTCAAAGGGATAGGAAGGAGGTCCCACCCAGCCCGAATGGTCACCGCCCCACGTACCATACGTGGGGGAGGGGCCATTGCCCAGCCAGGGGGGCGGGAAGGGGGGGCCCACGCTGCTGAGGATTTAGATGTGATCTCGAAGGTACTAGTTGGATGGATAGTCTGGCCCCTCAATCCTGTCCTTCGAAGGATTGTATATATACCTCTCGACTACGTAGAAACCATGTAGGGGTCTCTAGCTATTTCTGTGGATGGCAACCGGAGCATGTTAGCTTAAGAAAAAAATGTCGTGTGTGGTGCTCTAGTCATCTTGTGGTGGACATGTTGCTATTACCGAATTTGCACCAAATATTTCTCATCAAGTCCCTTGTTTTGGTGCCTGACAAAACTGACCAACGACAGCCCGAATCTTCCCATCTTTAGGAGAGAAGGAAAAAAAAAAGGTACAAAAGTTTAAAAAAAAAAAGCCAAATCCTGTTTACAGTGAAAAGGATGATTTCTTCACCCAGGTCTGGGGGGGTGGGAGGGGCTTCTCGTTCTTTGTGTTGGTGTTGTTTTGTTTTTTATTTTTGCTTTGATCATGTTTACAGTGTACGGAGCGGTGGAAGGAGGAGGGGCATCTGGGAGAGAGAGATGGGGACAGGAAAGGATCCAGTGGGAACAGACAGGATCCCTCAGGATCCCTACCTGAGCCTCCCACCTGTTGTGCTGGGGTTCAAGGTGGGCGGCCGGGGGGGGGAAGGGAGGAGAGAGGGAGCTCCCTCCTGAGGGAAGGATCCCGAGCTCCTGGTGGCCCTCAGAGGAGCCGAGGCTTGGCTTCAGGGCTCTCTCCCCTGTTTCCCCATAGGCTAGAGAGAGGCTGGCTTTCAGCTATCGTAGCTTGCTGCATTCCCCAGAGCCCAACTGCTACGCTCTGTGTTCTCCCCTCTGCTGCTCCTTGCCTCCTGGCAAAGAGGCGATTTAACCGCTGCCTCCCTATGCAAAAATAAATACATAAATAAAAGTAAGTAAAACATAAAATAAAATAAATAGCATAGATAATTAGTAGCTGGTCTTGGCCAAAGTGTTCTCAGCTGCTCCTCTGAGAGCTCTGGCTGGCACTCGAGGAATGATGAGGCTCACATGCCCCAGGAGGCTGGGTAAGGGCCAAAGCTTGCCGCCTGTTCTCTACGGTGCCAGCCAGGGTGGAGCGTCACAGGCCAGGAGATGGTACTTGAACTTCCTCCGGTCCCACCTGGAGAGACAGAGACTGGGCTCTGGCTCGGAGAGAATCTTCACTGGGAAACTGGGGGCGAGGCCCCCAGCCCCTGCCTCCTTCCTTGACCTGCTTTGAGCAAGTCACTGTCCCTTTTTCTGTGCCTCAGTTTCTCCATCCGTACAGTGGGGGAGAAACTAATCTTTATCCCAGCCCCCACTCCCTCTACCTCCACAGGATGTTGTGAGGATTAATAGCACTTCTGCTCTCTCCTAGGTTTCTTCTCAGGGTGGGGAAAAAACTTGGAAGTTCCAAATGATTCCATCTAATGTTCCCCCCACCTCCCCACCCTTCACAAAGCCACAGCTTTTCTGAAGCCTGGAGTGAGCAGAGAGAATGAAAGAGGGGGAGACAGGTGGGAACCCATGAAGTTCCATCTAGCACCAAATTGCTGTTATTACTATTACTCTTATTATTATTAATATTATTATTATTAGTTGGTCCATGCTTTCTTTTTCATGGGTGAGAAACACCAGGAATTAGGATAATACCAAAAGGAGTGTGGGGGAGTGATTACAGCTCATGTGGAATTCTACTATCTTCCTTTGGCCTTTCCTATTTCCTTTCCTCCGACCCATCTACTACCCCTCTTCCACTCTTTTCTCCCCCTGCCCTTCAATAAGCGAGAGAGGACATGGGGAGAACATGGTCACAGTGTTTAAAATGCACAAAAGACCGTTGGGTGGAGGAGAAAGTAGGTTTATTTTCTGTCACTCTAGAGCAGAAGACTAAGATTAATATATAGAAGTTATAGGGAGAGACTTCAATTCCATCTAAAAACTTTCTAACAGTCCTCTGATAATTCCACCATGAAAGAGGCTTGTTTCAAGAGGCACTGAGCTTCCCATCATTGGAAGCGTCCAAACAGATTACTCTCTGCTGGGGATTTTCCTAGAGGAGATTTCTGCATTGGATGAGAGATTGGACTGGATAATCTAGAAAGTCCCTCTAAAAGTCCATGATTCTGTGGAGTTGTTGTTTTTTGTTTTTTTTTAAAGTGAGATAATGTATGTAAAGTGCTTCGCAAACCTTAAAATGCTATATAAATGCAAGCTATTATTATTAGTGCTCACTGTGAGTCTACTGTTGTGCTAAGCGCTAAAGGGGACATGAGGAAGAGGAAAATGCAGGTCCTAACCCTAAGGATCTTACAGTCTAGGGAAGAAGGCAATGCACACATTAAGGGATATTATAATACATGACAGTGTTAAAGGAAATGCCACTGTAAAACTGTGCTGAAGCCAGTAGCTAAATGACAACAACAAAACAAAATTCACAAAACTGCCAGGAAGGCTATCAGTCCTTTCAGTGGGGAGGTAAGGCTTCAATCAGAAAATAAGTAGCTGCCTTGTCTGAAGCAAGGACCTTGAGGAAGGCTAAACCAGTCCCAATGTAGGGGCTCACACCATGGGGCCATCAGAATGAGTTTCCTTTCTGTAGCTTTAAGTGGAGAGCTCTCTCTCTCTCTGTTTTGATTCCTTGCTCCACCCTCCAGGGTGGTTGGAAGAGGCAGGGAGGTTCAAGGGAGACAATGGGTTAGAGCAGAAAGAACTGGTTCCTGAGTTAAAACATCTGGCTTCAAATCTTGAGCTATAACACTAACTGGGTGACCTTGGGTAACTTCCTTCCTTGCTCTGTGCCTCAGTTTCCTCATCTGCAAAATGAGGGGTTGGACTAATTGATCTCCAAGGTCTGGTCTAGCTCTAACTTTCTGTGATTTTCCCCAAGGCCAGAGCATCTTTTTTCCAAGCTAGTAAGGTGCTTCATAGCAGGAAGCTGTTGAAGGTGATTTTTTGGATGGGTAGGAACACCTGCTTAAGAGGCTAAAAAAAATTCAGAGTGAGTGGAACATAATATTTTATGCTTTTCCTCTCATCCTTTCCCCCTCTTCTTTCCTTCCCCACATTTTCTCCAGCCCCATTTGTATATTCCTAGGTGCAGAAAGCTCTGCTCTAGGTGCCAAGGTGGGGACTACCCAGAGGGCAGCCCTTGCCTTGGGGGAGTTTACCATCTGCCACTTGTGGAATCCCAGCTGAGCTGTAATTACCCGACTTCTCCCCAAGAGACCCCAGGTACTGTCTGGGGGGCCAGATGAGGCAGGTGAGAGGCCTGCTCTCCTTCACACCTGTCCTCCCACCCTAGCACCCTGGGTCCCTTCCATGATATAGGGAGAATGGTGAGAGTCAATTTGGGCTCAGCACTCTCAGCCCCTGACTTGGAAGGTCTCTGGAGTTGTTCATCGGTGATAACTGGAGAAGGAAGAGTGGAGAGGGGCCCATGTTTCCTTTCCCTCCCCTCCCCAGGGACTTTTGAGGGGAGTTGGAGGTCAGGGGGAAGCAGGCACAGATACTGCTCCAACGCCAACATCTTAAAGAGAGGAGACCATCTTCAGTCCTTCTTCTGCTCAACTCAAGGGCCTCAGACCCTCAACTGAGAAGCATGAGTGCCTTCTGTGGCTGGAAGCTGCCCTGGGAATGAAACTGGGGCCCCCTTTCCAACAGCAGCCGCAGCCACAGCAGCAGGCCCCTCTGGGACTCTGGTCAAACCAATGCCAAGGAGCCCAGCAGGCAGGGCAGATGGAGGCCGAAGGGCCCAGGGTCCACAGGACACCTCCCCTTCACCAGGACCCTCTCTTCGTCCCCTCCAGAGCCCAATGCCCAGTCCTGCTGCCCCCTGAGGCAGGGCATCAGCTCCTCTGTTCCCAGCACCCCAACTCCATGCAGGTGTTACTAACTCTTTATGCCTAACAAACAAGCACAGTTTTTTTTCCAGTGGTGATGAAAAGCACCACCAGACTCTTTCCTGAAGAAATCCCACTCGCTCCCTCTCCACCCTTCGGTGGGGGAGACTTGTCCCCCACCTCCCGCGGCGCCGTAGCAACGTCTGTCAGGTCCCCCCTTGCCCGCGTTCCATCTCCTGTCCTCGCATAGAGTGAATGCTAGAGCGATTTCAGCTGATAGAAAAAACAAAAACAAAAATGAAAAAAAACAAAACAAAAAACAAACAAAAAAAAACACATGGCACGTTGCTAGTTTACAGGGTTTTGTGAGTTTAAATGCCTTATATTTAACAATCATAATTTATGACTAACTTGTAGATATTGTGGGTTCTTATTTAATTATTTTTATAGTTGTTTTGCATTTTTAATTATAATTTATTTATTTAGAAAGGATACTAATTTTTTTTATTACTCCTATTACCTCATTTTGGCATTGTTTCTGGGAGTGGAATGCTTTGCATGCATTGGTACGATGAAAACTGACTTTGACCACAAAAACAAAAAAAACAAAAAAACAAAAACCCACAAAATTTCGCTGAACTTTATCTCGTCCCAAATCAGGGTGTGTGATTGCAAACTGTCTTACTGTGGTGCTGGCCTCTTTGGATACATTCCATAACAAAATGCAAACCTTTGATTCTGTATGCTGTGATTTAGTGGAAAACTGCAATAGAGTAACCGTATTTAGCACATATATAAATATGATTTGCACTCAGCGTCAAACTGAGATAATCCTTTCACTCGCTTCCCTCCGGCTCCCTCTGAATATGGACCTCTGTTCTCCCCCACCTGCAGCTTCCTCCACCCCAAAAGCAACCCCAAAGGATCCTGTTAGGGAGAGTTTGGGAGGCGAGTCATAGAGGAGGCCATACTTGGGAAAAAAGAAGAGGGTGCTTTGGGAAATACAGGCCACTACTCCGGGGGTCCTGTCCCATCAGCAATCTCTAGCTTCCAAAAGAAGTTTCCTCTTGGGAAATTCTATAGAAGAGAGAATTCCTATTCAGGATTGGGCAGTGTGGGATGGGGTGGAGATTTCACGGCCCCATGAGCTTGCCACACCAGTGTGAAGGACGAAAGGCAGGGGGTGCCAAGAATAAGAATATCCGAGCAGTGCAGTATCATGGAACAAGTCAGGAGACCTAGAGTCTACTCCCTCTTGGCTCTACCACAAACTTGCAGTGTGACTTTGGGCAAGTCACATTGTTTCTCTGGGCCTCTCCATTGTAAAGAGAGTCGAACTAGATGATTTCTGAGGTCTCTTCCAGTTCTACCATTCTCTGTTTATAAGGCTGTGTCCTCCACTTCATGGACTCCTTCTTGGAGATTCCAACTCTACAGAGCTGTTGGAGCTAATGGGGCACCCACCATTTTGCACCTAGTTTGCTTGTATTGGGCCTCTTTGGCCCTAGCAAAAAGGAAATCGTTGGCCAATCATTTTTCCAGTGAATTTGCTCAGTGTAGGCTTTCAGT